TGGTACTTTTTCCCATTTCTTCCCCATGGCCATGGCCAATTGATGGGAGCCTTATGGAGGCTGGTTAGCCAGTGATGGATAAGATCTTCTCAGAGGAAAGCAGATCGCCAGCCGATCATCCAACGGCTTTCACTCTGGCAGAGGACAACCTAAGACAGGCATGGTCTTTCTATCCCAGTCTTGGAATGTTCTATCTTTAAAAAATATAAAAAGAAAGGGGGAAATGTCAGGAGCCATGCTTGACATAAACATTGGAGAAAAGAAGATTGCCACTTTAAGAGCTTCTGAGCTCTCTGCTTCAGCAGTCTGAGCTGACAGGCTATGCCTCCATAATTAATTAGGTCTTCTAAAAACTTAGTTTCATTTCTGTCTTCGGGCACCTGAGTTGGTGAGGTAATGCAGTTACATGCTGTGTCCTTAGTAATTTTCTGTTAGTAAAATATCCTTGGTGATTTATTGGTTACCCCTGATCTGATTCCTATATAAGATCTGTGTTCCTCACAACAAGAAGCCATGCTGTGATTGCTCACTTGACTGTTGAGAATTAAACTTCTTATAATAAAATCAAGACATTTGTCTTGACTCTTCTTTTGTTGAAGCTCCAAGCCTGGTGGGCTTGGGAGGCGTTCAACAATTATTAGACCTTCATTTGCTCTTGATCTGAAGCTTTATTGCATTGTAGTCTGATAGAATGCATGGAATTATTTTAATTGGTTTTTTTGTACTTATTGAGATTTATTTAGTGCCCCAGAATGTGATCAATTTTAGCGAAACTTCCATGAAGTGCTGAGAAGAATGTGTATTCTTTGTTGCTTGGTGGGATATTCTGTAGATATCCATTAAGTTCATTTAACATGTGAGAAAATTTAGTTCAGATGTTTCTTTGCTTATTTTTTACAGTTGACATGTCTATTGGAGACAGTGTGGTATTGAAGTAACCTATTATAACTGAGTTGGGGTTCATCTCTGTCTTCAAGTCCTGTAGTACTGTCTTTATGAAATTGGTTAAACTAGAATTTGGTGCATATATATTCACAATTGTAATGTCTTCTTGGTCAATTGTTTCCTCGATCAGAATGTAGTTTCTTTCTTTATTTCTTCTGAATTATTTTAGTTTGGAATCTATTTTGTCAGATATTTGAATTCTGATGCTTGTTTGTTTCTTAGTGCCATATGTTTGGAATAGTTTTTTTTTCCATTCTCTCACACTAAGGTAATGCCTATCCTTGAAGTTGATATGGGTTTCTTATAGAAAACAAAAAGGCAGCTTTTGATTTTTAATCCATTCTAATAGCCTGTGTCTTTTGACTAGGGAGTTGAGGCTGTTGATAATTTAAGTTAGTATTGAGAGATGTGTTTTAATTACTGTAATTTTTTGTATGTGCTTTTAGTATTATTTTGTGTTTCCAAGTTATACCCTCATTAGTTTTCTTTCTGAAGCCTCTTGGGTACGGTTATTACTTCCTTCTGTCTTTATATTATTTTGAGTATTCTCTGTAGCTCATGTTTGCAGACATGCATTATTTCAGTCTATTAGTCTCATGGACTATTTCTTCCCCCTTTGATTATGACAGACTATGACAGACTATGACTATAACTATGCAGGGTTAAGTACTTTGGATTGACATCTATAATAATTTGGATTTTTGAATACTTTCTCCAGGCTTTTCTTGCTTTTATGGTTTGTATAAAAAAAAAAGAAAGCTGTACTTCTGATGGGTTTTCCTTTATGCATAACTTGTCTTTCTCAATCAGTATTCAGTACTCTGTCTTTGTTCTATACATTTGGTGTTTTTAGTATGAAATTTTGTGCAGAGTTTCTTTTCTGGTCCTGTCTAACTGGTCTTCTGTGTGCTTCTTTTATCTATATGAATATGTCTTTCTTTAATTTATGGAAATTTTCTTCTATAATCCATTCAAAGATGTGGAAATTCTATTGACAAGGGAGTCTTATCTTTCTTCTATGCCTATGATGCATAAATTTGGTATTTTCATGTTGTCCCACCTGCACATTAAATTCCATTGTTTTTAAATATTTTTCATATTCTTTGTTTCAGTGGTCCAGTTTTTCAAATTTATAGTCCAGTCCTGATAGTATGGTTTTCATTTCATTAATTCTTTTGAGGAGGCTTTTCTTGATGTTTTAACCTGGCTTATTGACATTTTCAACTACATCTTCATTTCATCCTCAGTTTTCTTTGATATATATCTATTTCATGAATTCACTTTCCAAATCCTAAATTGCATTTGTCACTTCATTTGTCTATAAATTTGTGTTTTCTTGAGCTTCATTCAGGGGGTTATCTCTGTCTTTTTTGAGTACTTTGAGTTCTTTGTATGCTCTTCAAATTTGTTGAATTCTTTGATCATATTTATGATTAGTCTTTTAAATTCTGTATCCTGGTCTACTTCTAGGTAGTTATCATTGGAGAACCTTCTATAGGAATGGTGGTTTGGGGGGAGACATATTAATTTTTTCATAGTATTTTTAACTTTTACTTGTCATCTTAGCATATGGATTTCTTTTATAATTTATGTATCTGATATGAAATTCAAGCTTTCCTTTGTTGAGTTCAACTTTAATTCTTCTTTCTATTGCTGATCAGCTTGGTTGATTTATGATCTAGTATGAACAATTAGTTGGTCTAACCTTCAAGTTTTCTTTTTGATTTTTCTGTTGGAGGGACTGGATGAATCCAGGCAGGCTTGTCAGGATCGCTCCAGGAGGGCAACAGAGACCAGGCCAAATTTTAAGCGATGAGCATTAACTGGAATTGTTATAACTAGCTAAACAAGGTGGTGCCAGCCCAGGAACCAAATCAGGGGAATGGTGACCTGGTACAAAAAGATCTGGCTGTCTCTCCCAGTTAGTCAGGTGCTCTCTGGCAGCCTAAGCAGAACAGGGCAAAAGCCTAATGAGAGCTGATGGGAACAGGAATGGCTGGTTCTTACAAGCAAGCAGAGAATGCTTGAGTTCTGCAGCAGTGGAAGGGAATGGAAATGGTTCCAAAGCAGGGGCATGGGAGAGGAGGTATTTGGGTAACACATTAGTTAGTCAGGCACTATCTGGCAGCCTCAGCAGGATGGAAACAAGCTCCAAGGAGCTTTAGTGGGAATAGAATGGGTTCATTCTTCCAATAGGTATTTTCTTGAGTTCATCAGATTCCCCAGAGAAAGAATCTTGCTGTCTGCTTCTTGGGAAGACTAGCTAGTTCCAACCACCAGACTAAGTAGTCCAAATTTGCTGTTACTTAATCTTCAAAGATACAAATTTAACCTCAGTCTCTCTTTTCCTGGTCTTTCCTTGCTGCATTTCACTGGCTTGGTTCTCTAAAATGGTGTGTTCAGGTTCAGTCATCTAGTAGACAAACCTTTCTCTTCTGCCAGGGTGAAGGAAGAGATGCATGGGACAGGAGAGCATCAAAACTGCATCTTCTGCTGGCTCTGCCCTGTCTTCCTACTCTCACCCTGCTGCCTATGACTGCTGAGCTTTCCTGGAGTTCTAAAATGCACGTCAACTCTCTTTTGAGTTCCCATCAATCACCTCCAACTCATATTACAGCTTGTTTTGCTCTGTTAAATTAGTTGTTACTCAACCATTATCTCACTGGCTTTGAAAGCTGTCATTATTGCCTTTTCTTTTTCTCTCTCATATTTATGCATTTAAAATGCTTTTTACAATGTAATTTCATTGGGAATTTATAAGGACTGATGGTATGTAGCTGTGTTCAGTCTGGAATTTTAAGCCTCATATTCTTGAGACTGTTTGCACCATTCACAGTTTTGTTTCTATGTTTTGGTCTTTAGAATGCATATTTCTGTTTTTTGAAAACATATTTAAATTTTGGAAGACTCTAGTATTAGTTTCTTCTTTTGTGTTGCATTTACTTTAGAAATTCAGTTCCTGCCTTGGAAGTCAGGACTCATTGCATTTTTAAAGTTTTCACTACCATACAGAAGATTGAGGGGCTGGAGAGATGGCTCAGCATTTAAGACCACTGACTCTTCTTGCAGAAGACCCGGGTTCGAATCCCAGCACCTACATGGCAGCTAACAACTGTCCATAACTCCAGTTCCAGGGGATCCAACAGCCTCTTTTGTCTTCCAGGGGGTATTGCATGACACGGATGCACTTACCTACATGCAGGCAATACAAGCATACACATAAAATAAAAATAATAAAGAAAATACTTTTTTAAAAAGAAGATTGATGGCAGGTGAAGTGGTTTCCCTCCCTCCTTGAAAGCAGTCGATAGTACTGCCCTCACATTCACATCTACAACTGGAAACCATACTTGAGGGAAAGACTTACACACAAGTACCTTAAAATGAGCCACTTTACCAATTTAAGTTAAAGAATTACCAACTCTCTCCTTCTATTTTACCCCAGAAATCTCCATTGTCACTACTCATAATACTTCATTATCTGGAAGGCCTTTGACAACTGTTATAACCACACTGCAGACAAAAATTTCAGAAATGTACCTATGAATATTGTACTTTCAAGATAATAATATAGAACATATTTAATTAACTAATGAATTGATCTTTAAATTTATTAATATATGTTTCTGTTTTAGACAAGTCAAAAAAGAAAACACCTTTTAGAATTTTGTTATTAACAATTAATATTAATTTTAAATGTTGCAAGAATAAAATGAGGAGAATCACTGAGAGAAAGTGTATTAAAATATCTCAATTTTGGATTCATAAAAAATTCTATATTGAAAACCATATTAGTATATATATTGTTATAAAATAAAAATAAATTACTGTAAGCCTATAGTCTATTCATATGAACATAATGTTTGGAAGATTCCCACTAGGTTGAAAATTTCTAAAACAATCCTCTGATGGTCAGACCCATATAACATTAAAAAAATGAGTCATTTTTTGTAAGAACAAGACAGTACAGCAGGTATCTAATAAAGTTATTACAGGATTGAATTAGCAGATAATTTTACATACTTAAGACTCAAACTAGGTAAGTTTTTCAATATTTAAATGTTTGTGGTCATTTTATCACCTAAAATGCTGCATAGGGCCACTTTCATATCCCTGTTTCTCAAGCTATAAATCAAAGGATTTAGGCTGGGAGATAACAGAGAGTAAAACACTGACATGAACGAGTTCAATGATGATGCAGATTTGGATGTGGAGCCTAAATATGCAACAAATCCAGAAGAGAGAAACAAGGTAACCACAGTCAGATGGGGCACACAAGTGGAGAAAGTTTTAAACCTTCCTTGCACAGAAGGAATTCTTAGGATGACAATGAAAATGTAAACATAAGAAATAACCATTAATATAAAACACAAGAAACCAAAACAACAGCTGGCAATGATAAACACGTATTCTAAAATTTGTTCTCCAGAACAAGCTAGTGTGAGAAGTGATGGAACATCGCAGAAGAACTGATGTATTATGTTGGGACCACAGAAATGCACAGAGAACGTCCCTGCAGCATGAAGAGACCCATAGACACACCCAGTGAGCCACACAACAGCCACCATCTGCACACAGGCAGCTCTATTCATAATGGTCTCGTAGTGCAGAGGGAGGCAGATGGCAACATAACGATCATAAGACATCACCAAAAGAAGGGAAAATTCAGTGCCTGCCAAAAATACAAAACAGAAAACCTGTAAAATACACCCTAGGAAAGATATGGAGTGGATGTTGCTCACAGAGTTCATGATGGATTTGGGAACTGTAACAGAGATATAACACATATCAATCAAAGACAAATTCTTCAGAAAGAAATACATGGGTGATTGGAGATGCTGGTCTATGGTGATGAGGATGATAATGAGGAGATTTCCCATTAGTGCTGCCATGTAAATTAGGAGGAAGAGTGTGGCGCACAGTGTCTGCAGCACCTGGCCATCTGGGAATCCCATGAGCAAGAATTCCATGTAGACTGTCATGTTGGTCATTGTCTCTGTCATTGTGACTCCTGGCTGTGAAAATGCAAGGAAAATTAGTATTGTTTCAGTTACTTAGATCTTCCTTCCTAAGTTTTTTAAATTGTTGATTTGTTTTACTACATTCTTATTGATGTTTTCTGATGTGATATTACATGGTGAGTGACATTTCAAAACTTTGAAAGTTTATTTTATCTTATTTTTTTTTAGAGGGGAGGTTGGTATTTTTGAAACAGGGTCACCTTGTAGTTCTAGCTGTTCTAGAACTCACTATGTAGACCAGGCTTGCCTTTAACTCACAGAGATCCACCAGCCTCTGCCTCGTGAGTGCTGGGATTAAAGGCGTGCATCACCACCCCCAGTGATTTAGTCTTTCTTTACCACCGATGAAAATCCATTGTGTAAATGTACCACATTTTAATTATTCACTCATCAGCTGAGGTGTACTTAGATTTCTACCATCTCTTATCTGTTGTGAAAAGAGCAACAATATACATGGGTGTACAAGTATCTATGCACTATGATGTGTCTTTTGAGTATATTGCCAAGGAGTGGTATAATTGGTTTATGTGATAGGTTCAATTTTACTTTTTTAAGAGTTATACACAATGCTTTTGGTAGGGATTACACGAATTTGAAATCCCAACAGCAGTGAATGAACATTACCCTTTCTCCACATCCTCTCCAGCATTTGGTATCATTTGTTCTCTTGATCTTAGCAAGCCTGACTGGGAATCATATTATTCCAAAAATCTGACAGATTACATATACACTATCTCTAAATGAGTCCATGTGTATACCTGAAGGCTACATAACAAGAAACAGTGCCGGACAGGAGAAACCTTCCTTTGAGCTGTTGGCCTGGTTAGTTCAAGAGACTCCCAAAATTATGCAGACTATTGCCACAGCCATTAATAACCTCCCAGAACTTGAAGGTAAGATCCTATTGTTGAAGTCAGGACATATTTCAGACACAGGATTTAGGGCAATGGAGCTGGAACTGACCTGGAAGTCATTTCCCCTGAAGACTAGCTCTAATAACTTTGGAAAGTAGCACACAAACTGCTAAGGGAGAACATCAGTCCATGGTCCAACCCCAGCTTCAGGGCCTAACAACTACATCAATGAACAGTACAGCAAACGACATTGGTACAGTAGTAGCACTTTGTGGGGGGTAATCAACAGATACCTAATTGGTTTTAAAGGTCAGTCAATGGGAGGAAAAACATTTGTGTACTATAAACATAGCAAAATACAAATATCTGGAGGGATCATAAATCTTAGAGAAAACCCCAAGGCTGTCACATCCATAGACAAACATAATTTCTTACTTTGCACAAAATATAAACAAACAAGTATCCTAGTCACCACTCATCAAAGAACCTTCTTTTGCAAAAGAGAGTAACTGTTACAGAGTTCCATAACTGGTCACACATAGACACGTGAATTTTCCAGTCTAAGTGGTACACCTACAATCCAACCTCTGCACCTAATGCTCATGGAACATAGGACAAGGGGTAAAGGGGACTCTAACACATCGCTCAATTCTCATCAATGAAGTTCCCTCATGCAACAGAAGGCCAGGAACACAAAAGGTCACAAATGTCAAAGGTTTAGAGAATAAGAGTCTGCAGAGTATGGGTCCTTGGTCAGGACTCATATTAAGCTCCACCCACCCGGGACTCAGGGACCATTGCAGAAGAAGGGGCAGAAACATTGCAAGAGCCAGGCAGGAGGCACATGACCATATGGAAATAGAATTGTACAAACTCCTGGGACAGTGATCATATGAAACTATAGCAATGGTGTCAGCATGCACAAGACGCCTGCAGACTCAAGCTGACAAAAATCCAGCACAGAACTGTGGAAATGGGCAACAAGAATTATTGGCAGCTGATTATTGCTGTGTGAGGAAAAGATGATCATTTTAAAGGGAGGAACTCTAGATAGGCTGACTAAACCCTGGTGGATGAATTTGTACTGAGGGATGTCTGGGAACATTAACTTGACATGATAGTCCATAACACAAATGACAATGTATGAATTCCAGTGGGAGGGGACTATGGGAGACTATGGGACTATAGCCAATGGAGAAGAAGGTATAAAGGTAATCAAGATTGAGTAAGATGCTCTATATGAAATAATAAAAAAATTCAGTGAATAAAAGAAAAAATGTAAAAACTTCAATCATGAGCAGTAAGTTTTCTAAAAGGCCATTAAGAACAGTCTAGCATGTGTTATCAAATGATATCATGAACTTTATGTAGTACATAGAAATAAATGATCTAATCTGTCCTCAGTGGACATATTAGTTTGCATCAGTTTTGATAGAATTCTTAAAGTGGTAGGGATTTTTAACACAATATAGTTCAATATTTACCGTGCTTGTAAATCTGGTTTATTTCCCAGCAAACAGCTTTCATAGATGAAAGGATGCACAAAGAATTTCAGGTATTTCTTTCCTTACTTTTCTTTATCATGTTATAGTACAGGTAACCAAGAAAAGATAAGTGAGCATGAGAAAAGTTCCTTTCTGAAAGTTAAATGTGGGACAATGATAGATCATCTAAGACACAATTTTCATAGATATTCAAGGTTACAAATGGCTCACTGATATTTTTACTGAAGTTCCAAGTAGATAGAATATTACCCTTTTTGAAAAATGAATAGAATCTATAACTCTATATCTCAAAAATAGGGTATATTTCCCTATTTTTATCAATTCCCAATGAGATAAAATTAGAACTCAATAGCAAATGACAGAAACAGTACACTACATGGAACCTGAATAATGCATTCCTGCATGATCAGTGGGTCATGAAAGAACTTAGAGAAGAAAAACTTTCAATAAAATGAAAATGAAAATATAATTTACCCAAACCTCAAGTAAACAGCAATAGAATTTCTAAGATGGAGGTTTCTAGTTATTTGTACTTACATTTATATTTCATAGAAAGCACCTAAATAACTTAAGGACACCTCTTAAGGCCTTGTAAAAGAAAGAAGTCAAATTCAAACCAGTAGATAGAAATGAGGACAGAGAAGAAATTAATGAAATGGAGAGTAAAAGGAAGTTATGAAGGGGCAATGGAGCACAGAATTAGTTCTCTGAAAAATAAAGAAGATTGACAAACTGATACTCAAAATAATCAAGCAGAGAGAGAGAGAGAGAGAAGCCAAAATTAGCAATATTGCTTATAGATCAATAAAGGAGAGATGATTATTAAAAAAATACTTTGGAAACCTATATTGGAAAAGGATCTACAGGAAGTAAATAAATTCCAAACTTATGAAATACCAATATTAAACAAAAACATATAAGCCCTAAGATCTATAATAAGAATTGTATTGAAGTAGTAATAAAAAGTTTCCTAAACCAGAAATGCTCAGAAGCAAACAATATAGTAGCCACATCTATCAGACTTTTAAAGAATTAACTCCAATGCTGTTTGAACTATTCACAAAATAGGATGGGAAGAAATTCTATCACTTTCATTCTATGAAGCAAATATTATCTTGATATCAATGGCAGAAAAGGATAGAAAAAGAAAACTATAGATAAATTCATCTTATAAAAATAGATGTGAATGCTCTTAATAAAATACTTGTAAACTGAATTTGGCAATACATTAAAACAAACAGCCCTCATGAGATCAAGTTGGTCTCATTCTAGGAATTCAAGAATGTGACAAATTGTGGTACTCAATAACTAATATGGTGGGGCAGGAGAGACTGCTCAGTAGCTAAGAACACTATCTATTCTTGCAGAGGACCATATTTTGGTTCCCGGCATCCACATGGTGACTAACAACAGTCCATAACTCGAATTCTGGGAGATCAAATGCCCTCTTCTGACCTCCATGGGCATTACATGACATGGATGCACTTACATACATGCAGCCAATAAGGTCATACAAGTAAAAATAAATAAAACATTTTTAAAATAGCTGTAATTTGGCCTATAATTAGACTTGTGGGGGTGGGACTGCTGGAGATGACTCAGAAGTTAAAAGCACTTGCTGTTCTTGCAGAGGATCTAGGTTCAGTTCCCAACATTTACATGCTGGCCATCTCTACCAGAACTCCAGGTCCAGGAGATCTGGCACCCTCTTCTGGGCTCTGTGGCCATTGCATGCACTTCGTGCACTTACATAAAACAAAACAAACACACACACACACACACACACACACACACACCACAAAAATAAATAAATAATAATAAATAAATAAATAAATAATAGAGTTGAGATTCAAAAGTCACATAATCTGTCCAAATAGATGCAGAAAAGATCTTTGAGAAAGTTTGACATGCCTGCATGAAGGCAGCCATGAAGAAAGCATGAATCAATGGAGCACACCTCAGCAGACTAAAGACTATACATTACTGTTGGCCTCCATTATACTAAATGCAGAAATACTGAATGCATCTCCTCTAAAATCAGGATGAGACAATGGTGTACTCTGCCTCCACTCCTGTGTAATGTAGCATAGCACTTGCATTTTTTAAATCATAGCAATGGCCAGAGAAATGAATAAAAATGTCATAAGTAGGAAAAGAATGCTATTTGCTTATGACTGCCTAAAGAGAAAAGATTCTGATCTCTCATATAGAGAAGCTAGATTTAACCTATATTCACTAAACATATGTACAGATACATTACATGCAAATATTGTATACATAGTATTACATTTGACATGAAAGGGAAAGTGGGCTATTTGTGGGCAGGAAGAGGACCTAAAGGAGTGGGACAGTAGCTACAGATGAGGATAATGGCGGGTGCATTTGATGAAAAAAATGATACACCTGTAGGAATGTGTCCTAAACTTTCTATGCTGAAAAAGTATGTGTGACTGTGGTCCCAGGATTAAAACACAATCAAATTTTTGAAAAATAATGCTCATAAATTTTCAAAAATATGTTAATATAGAAATCTACTGCTCAAAGAAGATTGAAAATCTCAAGAAGTGTTGGCACAAAGAGGAAAAATAAAAATTATTCATGATAATAATTGATAAATTCAACAACATGTGAAATTTATAGTAAAAAATAGATGTTGAAGCAAAATCTGAAGCAAAAAAATACCTGGAGTCATAAATATATCTATAAATACAATTTGAAAATATGTAATTCTTACTCAGTTACTGATAGAATCAAT